AGTATTAAATGGAATCATGATTTAATGTTAGTTTCCAACAATCCGTGTGACAGCAAAATTGTGAAATTAATTTATGCAGGTTCTAGAAGTTTGTCTTGTCAACTTGTTGTTAAAAAGTCACCAGTGACGGTTGAAATTCTTAAAAAAGTTGTGGAGAAATATGGTGGAGATAGTAATAACTTGAAAAATCTTAGACTTTGTACTACATGTATGTGCATTCTTGGATTTTCAGGATTTTTTTTTAGATATGATGAATTGAGTCATCTTCAAATGAACCATTTATCTTTTCACAATACTCATGTCAGTGTTGAAGTTACAAATAGCAAAACAGATCAGAAAAAACTAGGTTCTGAAGTTATTATCGCAAAATTACAAACAAAGCTCTGTCCGGTATCTTGGCTTTTAAAGTATATTGCTGCTGCCGGGCTCAATTTTCATTCCGAAGAATTTTTATTTACTAAGGTTAGATTTTTTAGGAAAACCAATATTTACGTCATAGCAGATTCTAGCACTCCACTTTCGTACACTAGAGCTAGAGAAATTTTCAGAGATGCTTTAGATAGTATCGGGGAAGACAAGTCTAAGTTTGGGTTACACAGTCTACGAAGTGGAGGCGCTTCCGCTTTGGCTAACAGTTCATCCCCGGTAGAATCGAGAATGTTAAAAAAAATGGTAGATGGAAATCTGATTCCGCATTATGTTCATTACAATTTAGAAAACAGACTTGAAGTTTCAAAAAAAGGTTAGGATTGTAACACTTTTAATACTTCTTTGCGCTCGATCAGTAACGCACTGCATTCTGTAAACGTCAAACGTCTTGTTGTTCTTTTACCAACTACTTAATTATGAAATGCCTTATTTTCGGACGAGCGTAGCGAGGGAGAAATAATTATATTTCTTTATGTCGTTTTGTCTTCTTATTTCTGTAACGTATGTCATTTTGTCATTTTACATCTGTAATACTATATAAGAAGATTGCACGGGTTTTTCGTGAGGTGGGAATCTTGTATACATGTATTACACATGTTAAGAATGCTTTTCATTCGACGGGCGTACTGAAAGGGTAAAGTTGTTTCCTAGTTCGCCTAATCGAAGCATATGTAATTAATTTTAGTTATTTAATTTTATAAGTTGCATATGGACATATTGAATTAAAAAAAAATTGAGCCCAGGTTGTAAAAGGTATAAACATTATTTTTTTTTGTGTTATTGTACCACGGATGAGAATATTATCCCGCCATCCATATCCTGAGAATAGCTTAGCACTTGCTGCGGGTACAGGTTTTTTATCCATTAAAATGGTTTTGTTTCCTATGCAGCTTTGGTGTTCTATGAGGGATTTCATGTGGTACTTTTACATCAGTGTTAGGTGATATTTAAAATCAAATACATATAAAAATGTTTTCAGTGTTATCATAAAAGTATTTCATCATAGATGTGTTATTATATGTTTACATTGTTGGTTCATATGCTGAAAGTTGTTCATTTATATATATGTATAAGGATTTTGATATTAAATTCGATCAGTAACGCACGCATTCTGTAAACGTCAAACGTCTTGTTGTTCTTTTACCAACTACTTAATTAAGAAATGCTTTATTTTCGGACGAGCGTAGCGAGGGAGAAAATAATTTCTGTAGTCATAAACCAAGAAACCAGTGACATCACTTTCAGGAACGGTATGTTACTAATTTTATTAAAAGTTCCATGTACATGTTGTTACGAATGAGCGCATATCTATCTTGTTTAATATAATTAATATTGTTTTTATTTTGCTTTAGAGCCATTGGTCACGAGTTCGAATTCCGAGGGCGAGATATTTTTCATATACAAAAGCTTATGCTTCTTACTAAAATATTCGTAAAGATACATGTAGCTATACAAATTTACTGTAAAAATATTTCATTGTATACAAATTTATACCTTTAAAGCTGCATGCCTTCAGATGACCCAAAATATTACAAAAAAAAACAAACTTAGAAAAACTATGCTAAAACTTTGAGAAAAGTAAACAATTAAAGATTCAAGTGATAATTTATACCTTATGTGCAATTGATTTTATATTTTGAAGTATTTATCACCATATTTCTACTGCGTTACTAACGCAGTAGGGGCTACTTATGCATGTTTTGATCTCTTTTTGGTAATTTACGTGGATTTTAAGTGCCGATTGTAATATGTAAAGTACTTTTTTTTTGTTTATTTCACAATAGTTTACCTTTAAATACATTTTCAAAATTTTCATGAAAATTAGGATGAATCTGAAGCCGTGCTGCTTTAACAAAAGAGTAATTGTCCCCTTTATCAGATAATTGTTAACTGATGAATTAGACGAATAGTCCTGCCATTTTAAAATAAAATACAATGTGGCATTGTTCAAGTAGAAACAAAAAAACTATAAAAGAACTATGTTTATTTGCCAACAAAATCCATGGTATGAACAAATGACGCGAAAATTGTTTTAAACACGCAAAGGTATGGTGTCAGCTATTGTTCATGATCATAAACGTAACTAGACGAATAATAAAACTGTAATAGGATACATAAGCAAAACTAGGTGTAGGCATTATACCCATAAGTTTTACATCGTTGACAAAAATAAAAAGGAAAAACTAACTGGTTAAAAAAACCACTAAATGCAAAGTCGAAATATAAAACATTTACTGATATAACTGGAATCAAAACTGTTATAGGTTTACTGTCCTGGAATGATAATAGGACAATCCAATTTAAAGGTAAGTCTGTATTATTATTATTATTATTCGAGATTGGGAGTATCAACAAATTTATATAGTTCTATTCTAATAAAAATGTGTAACGTTGATTTGGCTCAGTTGGCAAACCAACGTCACTGTTAACAGAAGTCTTCCGTACTTGTGGTTTGCATAGGATGGAACGCTCTTTAATGCTGTGATTATTTAATATTTATTATTGTTGTCTTTGTCTCTTTTTCCCTGTGTTTTTGTATCGTATGATCATGTTACTATATTTCATTGTATTTTGTTCTTCTAACTTTCTATTTCTTCTATTATTTTTGTTCCTCTCTTTATGAAGAGAACAACTTCATGTCAAGTGATTAAATTGTGTTTTTTGATTTCATATAACATTTTAAAAATCAGACTATTTAAAACATACTACGATTACGAAATGTGAATTATTTTTATACATGCATTAATATAATTATAACACATGATATTTCATTATACTATAACATTTCTAATTATGACGTAGATCTAACTTTCGTATATATTTGGCTTAATGTTTGAGCTTGTACACAAGTGCATATCAACCCATTTATCTAATGTATTTATAACTATTTAACACAAAATCGTCAAACAAGAAAAAGTGACCTTAAACAATCAAATGTTATAATGCCTAACCATGACGTGAACATGAACACGGACGCGCTGTCTACTGCACTATCAAGGGTGAAAGCTGAAATAAACAAAAACAACTGAGAATTTAATTAGCTATAATTTTAATCACACTGTAAACATATATATAGAAAAACCTAGTATTTGAATCATATTTCCTGAATTTGGAGAGCCTTCAAGGTTTGGTATGTGTCATTACACTTCAGTGTACGATATCAAAAGTTCACCTTGGATGATCTTGAATGATTGCGACCTAACAATTAAACATATATTAACATGTAAATCAGCATTCGGAACTGCCTCGGCTATTATCTATAATAACCTCGGAAACAGTACGGATTAAAAGAAGTTCTACCACGTGGTTTCAGATGTAAACAGAAACAGAGATAATGTGATGATAATATAAGATAAAGGAATGTATATATTTGACATCGAATGTCTGTTCCGGTACTCCTATGCTTGAAAATATGTCTGACAATAATTTGTAATTTAAATATGCCCACTGATGTTCAATTTAAAACAAATCCGACTAAATGTCAACAGGTTGGTTTTTTTGTACTTTCGGTTTCTACAACCATAATAATACATATATAAATAATGTATTGTTTGCGTTTGTACCTATGAAATCACTTATTTTAGTGGACTTTTACTACATATATTGGAAATAAACTCGTCAACAATTGCCAGCATTAAATTACTATTTGTTTCCATGTTTAGTTTCTTTGCGTAGGTTAGACCGAAATACCGCAACTCTCCTGTATATTCATACTATTGTGTTCGAGGTCCTTATCCGAAGACTGACGGAAAGGGCCGAGTAGTTACGATTGATAAATCAGCTTTTCTTAGATAGATAAATAGATTAGATAGATATATTTCAGTATTCAGTAAATAACATGGTAAAAACATATCCAATACATGATAAAACAAAAAAACAAAACAAATATCAATGTAAAGAAATGCACCATATCAAAAACATCATACCAAGGATAACACAAGAAAGAGAACTTAATCTCTTATTTCCATTGTGGTCCTTAGATACTGGTGGTTTTGACAAAGAGAGGCATGAAAATGACTTATCACAGTTTTAAATTAAAGAAAGACAATAGTATACATAAAATTTTCAAATTAAAATAAATTAATAAAATAATAAATATTAAGACTAGAGGATAGGCACCCTTAAAAGAGATAATTACCCATTAAGTAAATGTTTTTTAGCAGATAATTTAAAATTGAACAATTTTGATTCCATCCTAATAGAAGAGGGTAGTTTATTCCACAATACACATCCATTGTAAGCAAAAGACTTTGATCCGAAACCTTTGACCTTAGGTAGCATATAACAACCACTTTCACTTGACCTGGTCCTGTAAGTATGAACATAATCTAATGGAATAAAGTTTTCTCCCATATATTCAGGGGCAAGTCCATGTTTTATTTTAAAAACATTACATTCTTATAATGGTTCTCATATGACAGACCAAGGACCTTCATTGATCTGTTCTACTTTTTTAAATAAGAGAGTTTCTACCCATGGTATCAAATGAAAATATACTTGTTATAAATGTTTATTTCAGAATTGTTTTCTAACATCAAATAGAAATATCATTAACTTCTTATTTTAGGTTACAAGCATACAATGGATGAAAACTACATATCGATATGGTATTGTATGGCTGTAAAGAAAATGTGAATATTGTTTTATGTATCTTAAACCTAAAGGAAAGAATTCCCAGTACATCCATGCATAAGTCTGTCTTTAATTTATGATTACTAAAAGAATATTGATGACATTATTGTAATATAATTTGTGATATGGATTAGATTCACTGAGGAATTAAACAATTCATAGGCATGGCGTCAGTGTCTTTGTCAAAAAAACTGTCTAACTCGAGATACAATAACTGGGTAAAGGCTAGTTTAGCAGTGTTGATAACAAAAAGAGGTATTGAACCTTTTGTTAAAGATGAAATCGAACAGTTCCAGCAGAAATGTTTAACAGATATATGTAACAACCAGGGTCTTCCATCTGGAACAATTTGTACAAATTGTTGCACAGAAAATGTAGTCAAGTGTCCTACAAACAAAATTTGTAACATTAAGCAAAGAAAATGCAGTTATCATAAAGATTCTGCAACTACTTTTCTTCTTGCTGGTTGTCCGAACAAGATCTGTCACAATTTTAAAACTGAAATACAGAACGCTCATAGATACAATGGCCCATCCTACAAAAACACTGATGCTGCTCAGTGGTGCAGTAAATCCTGGGAGGTAGCTAAGTGCTACATGCCACCAGATGGTTATAAAGATGTTGTATCTGCATCAGAAACAGATTTTAATGGAGTCAACAGTGTCATCATAAACTGCGAATGTTTTCAGACAAAAGTTACAGATGATCTCAGTAAGAATGGAAACATTTTTGACAAGGTAAGGCAAATTTTACTTGTTTTCTTTTTCTTCTTCTGTCATTTAAATCACCTTGCATCAAATGAAAAGTGAACTATTAGGACCATTATGTCATAATTTATTATGATGTAGGCCGGTTGTCATTTTCCCAAAAAATGACATAGATTATCAAAGTTAAATAATTGAAATTTGCAAAAATGGCCATAACTTTGAAAGCAATAGACTCGATTCATATTTAGACAACATAATCTTATGTGTAAAATAATTTAAGTATGACCTTGACAAAAAATGATATAGATTGTCAAAGTTAAATTATTGAAATTTGCAAAAATGGTCATAACTTTGAAAGTAATAGACTCGATTCATATTTAGACAACATAATCTTATGTGTAAAATAATTTAAGTATGACCTTGACACATAAAATGAGCAGGACAATCAAACTCTCAGAAGTAATTGAATATAGCTTAAAATACTATTCTTCATTTTTTCATGGACAAATTAATTATTCAAATTTGGACAAAGCATCACTGACACAACATGCTCATTGTTTAAATTATGACCTTTATATTTAAACCTGACTGTCAGGTGTCATTTTCAATATCTACAGATCTTTAAAAGTAATGCATGCACTGATTTAATTATTAAGATTTGCAGAAAACGAGACGGCTAAATTTTACTGAGACTGCTAAAGTTTTACTATTCCCTTAATGTGACCATTACTGGTGTTTCATAAAAATCTGATATATATTGTTTATATTTGTTTTGACATGAATCCTTTGTCTTACAAGAACAAAAACTATCTATATGTTAGCAATTAATGCTTTCGAAAAATATAAAGGCATAGTGTAACATAATCACTGTGGTTCAGTGTGAGGGTGGTTGGCCAGTTAAAAGAAAAGAGAACATTTGACGATCATTCAGCATAACATTATTGTTGTGAGTGGATGTTATTTTGGTTCTTTAAGTTCTTTACAATTTGGAGTTTTTCTAGTCAGATGGTTCTTGAATACTGTTGAATCATCCTGAGGATATGTTGCCTGCTTTTTAGCTCGACTATTCGATAAGAATAAGTAGAGCTATTGCAGTCACCCGAGCGTCGGCGTCGGCGTCGGCGTAACCACTTATGTTAAAGTTTTTGTAATAGTTTAAATATTTTCAAAGTCCATTGACATATGGCTTTGAAACTTTGCACACTTGTTCACCATCATGACCCCAACCTGTAGACAGGAGGAGGTAACTCTATCAAGCATTTTGACAGAATTATGCCCCTTTTTCGACTTAGAATTTACGTTAAAGTTTTTGTAATAGTTCAAATATTTTCAAAGTCCATTGACATATGGCTTTGAAACTTTGCACACTTGTTCACCAATATGACCCCAACCTGTAGACAGGAGGAGGTAACTCTATCAAGCATTTTGACAGAATTATGCCCCTTTTTCGACTTAGAATTTACGTTAAAGTTTTTGTAATAGTTCAAATATTTTCAAAGTCAATTGACATATGGCTTTGAAACTTTGCACACTTGTTCACCATCATGACCCCAACCTGTAGACAGGAGGAGGTAACTCTATCAAGCATTTTGACAGAATTATGCCCCTTTTTCGACTTAGAATTTACGTTAAAGTTTTTGTAATAGTTCAAATATTTTCAAAGTCCATTGACATATGGCTTTGAAACTTTGCACACTTGTTCAACATCATGACCCCAATCTGTAAACAGTAGGAGGTAACTCTTTCAAGCATTTTGACAGAATTATGCCCCTTTTTCGACTTAGAATTTACGTTAAAGTTTTTGTAATAGTTCAAATATTTTCAAAGTCCATTGACATATGGCTTTGAAACTTTGCACACTTGTTCACCATCATGACCCCAACCTGTAAACAGGAGGAGGTAACTGTATCAAGCATTTTTTTTACTATCAAGCACTAAGAATAGTCGAGCGTTGCTGTCCTACCGACAGCTCTTGTTTTAACTTTGTCTTTTGACAGCTTATATATAATTTGCAGACTTCGTAATCTCTGATCCCCTTTTAAAATTCCTTTTTATTCAGTAACACACATTGTTTTCTCGCATTTATTTTTACTTGGGGACCATATGCTGCTGTTCATGGAATCTCATTGAAGATTTCATGATAACCGCCATATAAACATATCTGCAATGTTTTAAAACTTAAAATTTTACCAGTTCATGTTAAATGTTGAATTCTTCTTAAGCCGGAGCTAAAGGATGTGGATGCCTGGACAGTAACTGGCACTTTGACCAAACTACACCCCTAATATAGGACCTGTATGTCTTGATTCTATCATTCACAGGGTAGAGAGATTGGTAAAGCTGTTCGACACGCCCCTATTCTGGAAGTGGTGGATAAAGATTTAAAGCAATATTTCATTGACCTTGATAACCTTCTGTCAGATACTGGACACTTGATTTCCGATAATAATGCAAAGTTAGCAAGGAAAAGATTATCTGAGGTTTGTAAAACTTACTTTTGTATTCAGTAACATATTAGAACATATTAGATTAGAACATTACCCGTCCCTAGATTTGCCACTTAAATGCCACCCTTTTCAATGGTGGAGTATTTAGACAATTTTCCACCAATAATGCCACCAAAATGCCACCAAAACGCCACCCAAATCATGAAAATGGTGAAAAATTTGAGCAGGACTGATGGTATATAATTTTCCAGTTAATTCCACCTTTTCTACACTTAATGCCACCAATGAGTGGAAAGTTGGTGGAGTATTTAGACAAACTTTCACCATTATGCCACCTTAGGGTGGCAAACTCATTTTTCCACTACATGCCACTTGTTTCCACTAATTGCCACCATCATGGTGGAAAGATGGTGGAGTATTTGGACGAATTTCCACCATTATGCCACCATTGAGTGGCAAACTCATTTTCAACCAAATGCGTCTTATTTCCACCTTTTGCCACCATTAGGGTGGAAAGTTGGTGGAGTATTTAGACACTTTTCCACCATTTTTCCACCACAAAGTGGCAAATTCAGTTTCCAGTAAATGCCACCTATTTTCACCCTTTCAGAAATTTTCCACCTTGTGGGTGGCAATAGCCTGAAACTGCTTAAAAGTCACCCTGTACCCTAAAAGAGAAACAAACAAATTTAAAAAATAATCATTTTTAATGTCTCCATATGAAATAATTGTCTCAAAAAATAGCAACACATTAGTCCATTTATTATCTTCACTTTATCTTTCTATTCCTGGACAGTTTGAGGAGGTGCAGAATCACCTTATGGATTTCAGTCCTTTGGGTTGTCAGCCACTTTTCCAGCGCACAATCTAAAACAAAAAAATATTATGAATAATTGTAACAATAATGGAAAACATTAGCTTACATTAATTTTTTATATGACTATTGGATATTTCTATATTCAAGTTGAGTGCATAGATATGATTAAAACCTTAACAAAACAGCATTGCAGACGTGGAAGAATCAAACTTTTCTTATTTATTAATACTCCAAGGCAGAAAATATACGCAGAATCAAAAATGATATTTTCATTCAGTTCATTAGTTATCTTTCAAGAACTTAAGTTTTGCCTTGTCTGCACAAGCAGGTCTGTCGTCAGACTCTCTGTTCCATTTTCTAATACCAAACAATGAGCCGCCTTTAATCTCCTCTATATCGAATAGCATTCTGAAGAGCCTTGTTGTACCTTTCTCATGTGAGGCATAGTGCCTCAGTTCTGCCATCACTTGGTCCTAAAATATAATTATCAATATCCAATAAGTAAAGACAGAAAATGAAACATGGTATATGTATTTAACTCCAAAATTTTAAAATAAGAAAGAAATTAAGAAATACAACACGTCAACATCAGTGCAGGTAATAAGTAATTTAATAATCTTCCAGTTTCAGTTCTTAACGAACCTTCATCAGGATAAATATTTGACAAAATTTTCAAACTTAGGTGTACAAAAACTCTAAACTTTGTAAAACTAAATGTAAATGCAAATTAAAGTGTCATATAGAATTTGAATAAAAGTAGGTTTGGAAATAGTGCATAATAGCTATATTTATTAAGAACTGAAAAGTGTCTTATTGGGTACTGTGACACTTCTTTCCTATCAATTCTAAAATAACTTTGATTTGTAAAGCCACTGAAGAACAAGTGTGTTGCTCCAGGCTGCTCCTCATTGCTTTGTGTCTGCAAAAGAATAATTCTTATTTAATGCTGTTTCTGTTATGAACTGTCATTCTCCTAACAGCTTGTTACTCTAGACTGTCTAGTTATGGTTATATATCTACTGCACCATGAAAGCTGAATTACAACAATGAAGGAATGAAGCTTAAAACAGTTATTAAAACAGTTACTGTTGATCTGCTTCACATGTGACACACAAGGAAATATGTTTATAGCATGAAAGTTGTAGTAATAGGTACCTGGTTATCTATAGTTTGATTGATGTAATATTGTACATATTAATGATATTGTACTTACTGATTAATTTCTATAATTATTTTCTCAAACTTAAAATTTCTAACATACTGTATTTATGAAATGATGAAGCTCTTCCTACATTCTTTACATTCCTACATTCTTCATATGTAAATTCAGCTTTCTTTTTTTAGTCAAGTTACAAACATAACAAATTTAAAACATAATTTTATACAATACATTTAATATTTTTACTGTTCAAAAACTTAATAGTTACTGCAAAAATAATAATAAATGTTATATGTAAAAGTTGCTTACCTGAAACTTTGACTTGGAATGATTCTGCTGTTTATCTTCTTGTTTAATGTTATAATCTACACATTCACACTTCAGTTAAAACTTCTCATTTCTATTTGCCACACTAATAAGACTTTTAATGTATTCTTTGAGAAATCAAATATATGCACCCTTACATTTTAAACAAAATAATATCTCCAGAATTGCTACAATACCAATCATTTCCTTTGTGTTTGCAAGCTTTAACTGACCTCAATTCCTTTGAATTCAAACTTTACAACCGTACAACTGGAAAGTTCCATTATAATTTTAAACTGTGAGGGATTATTCAAAAACCATAGCACCCATCATTTTATTTTTTACATTCATTTGAATGTATTAAACTATATCTAATACCTAAATAGATTGAGTAGAAATAAGTTTTTGAAAGATAATTTAGCATGCTATTTTAACACAGATTCTACATATAACATCAGAGCTCCAGATAGCGTGCGTATAAGCGTAAAATACGCAAAGAAAATCTAAAATACGCATCATTTTCAAAATTCGTGCGTCACAGTTACGCACAACAAAATGAAAATACGCTCGTATGTCAAAATTTATGCGTAAAAGAATAGAAGTGTAAACATTTGATATGTAGAAAGAAAATGTTTTGAGCATAAAAATACAATATATTTCCATTTAATTGCATTGAAAACTAAAAAAATTCTGTTTGTCAACAACGCATGTTAAAACGAAAGTAGCAGGAAATACAGAAGGGAGGTAACTCCCGTAGATCTATCACCTGTGAAATTATTGATGAAATTTGTGCCAGATAATCATCGTAGGAGTTAACACAGTATTAAGTTTGTTTAGGCATCTATTGACATACTTATGTCTCAATATATAAACAAAAAAATATTTTAATTTTCTTAAACACTTTAGTTGTTGGAACAAAATAACATGTTTTTCACCTGCAGTTTTGTACTCAATATTTTCGTACCCAGTCTACAGTTACGGACAATTTTCTTCAGACCAATACTTTTTTTAAGGAAAGATAAAAAAATCTTGTTTTATGTTTCTTTAATTCTAATTTCAACTATAATGGTTCAAACTGGAGTACATGATAAGGTACATGCCAAACAAAAATAAAGAAAGAAAAAATATTGACTCCTAGAAAATAAAATAACTTGAGGGCTTCCACTAGTGGAAGTTTGGGGAGTCATTTACTCCTTCAATTGGCCTGTGACTTCCAAAAAATCAATACTTTCCTTCTTTACCTATATAATGTGACTTCCAATATCAGAGATTTTGAAGTCTTTGACTTCCAAATTTTGAAAATGGAAGCCCTGATAATTTTGCTGTGTATCCTAAACTTGAGTTCCAGTATACTCTGGAAGTCTGACTTTACATGGCATGTTTTGTATTGTTTTCACATTAAATCAGTATTTAATTTGTAAAGGTTTTTTCTAAAAAAGAAAATAAACAAACAAAAAAAACACAACAATAAGTTTAATTTGTTTATAAAAAATGCAAAATGCTTTTTTGACAGATTTTACCCCTTAAGTTTTTGAGAATTTGCATTTTACCCCTCACTGTAAATTTTGAGGGGTAAAAACCCCTTGGCCAAAAAAAAGTATCTGGAGCTCTGTAACATGTATAATGTTGCCTCTCCCAAAATAATCAAATGGAACAGTCTGGTCAGCTTGAGTAAACTATTAACTCCCATGCAGAGATTACTAGATAAGAGGGCAGTAGTTTTATCAGATCTGTGTTGTATGCCTTGTTGTTAAATCTTAGAGGATGCAGTATTTACTAGCTAGTATTTACTTATCCTGATTATAAGAAATTATCAGGAATTATTAGCTATATTTACTTTTCACACAATTATTTTTACAATAGATTTAAAGCCTCTGAACGGCATACTATATTGTGTATTTATAATAAGCATGCCAAGCACAGTGCTTCATTATCTTGAAGGCTGATCTATTTTATGTATATTTATTAAATAGCATTTAAATATTATTGTTAACAAGTTTGATTCATGCTTTTTTTCTTCTTTAAAATACATAACTCTCTCCTGCAAAGTTATGGAGTCATTGCCCTTTGTAAGTTTTAATCTGCAAAGCATAGTACAAAAAATGTTTGATACAATAATTTTAATCTCCACATATAACTAAATCTCATTGATGAGAAGTACAAGGCCTAGGAACCATAACTCTTTATTGAATGATTTGGGGTTTATTGCCATTTGTACTTCTCCATGCTTAATTTTTGTTCTGATCATTATGCTTAAAAAGTATTGGAGATATTAATTTGAAACTTCACAGATATAGATCTTTGTGAGTAATGTGCTGTGTTTAAGAACCATAACTCTTTTACATACTTTTGGAGTTATTGCCCTTTGCATTTTTCACTTAAGCATTACATGAAAAGTGTAAGTATACTCACCAGATATCAGTTTAAAATAATATTAAAGAGACCAATCTTAATTAGAAGAAAAGACCAAAGTCAAACTTTATTCAAGATTGACATTAAATATCATAGCAGATTTTAACAACAAACTTTATGCAGAAAAATGCATTTTCTGGTCATTGAAGAACATTTCAACTATTTAATGTACAGATTGCAATTAAAAAAAGCTAAGTACACTTTTACAGCCGTAATTTTATTTTACAAGCATAGAATGGAACATAGGCATTTTTGACTTTAAGTCAAAATTAACATCCCTAAAGAAAAGTACTGAAAAAGAGAAAGAAAAAACGGAACATAAAGTAACCCCATACTTTTCTAATTTTTCTTGCTCTTAATTGATTATGTGTGTTTTACGCCTGGAAAAGTGATTTTACGTCCAATTTCAGTGTCTTTTCCTGCTACTTTACAGCTGGAATTATCATACCAGTGACTTTGTATCAGAATTGTGTTCATGGCATTGCATATAAAAGATTTTTAAGAAATACGACTTTCTGATAATTTTTCAAACTGTTTAACTTTAATTTATTCTATTTTTGATAAAAAGTTCACTTGATGCTTTGATAAAACCTAGAAACAGATTTATTTCAGTTTGGAGCTTTAACTTAAATAAATCTTTTAAACCCTGCAATGCACAATGATTTCTCAGTTTTCCCTTTCCCTTTTCGACTAAAAGTTATTCACAAAATTTTCTAAGTCTTTTTCCACTAATTTGCCACCCAGAAAATAGTTAGTTTCAC